ATTAAGGGCCCTTTTAACCCGTTTAACCCGATTAAATAAAACGATTATATCGCCTATTACCGTTAACTTAAGTGTTTAAATATAAATATAATAAATTTAAATTTATTAATAAATTTAAGGCTCATTTATACGTATAAGGTAACCTTTAACCACCTAATAATAAAGAGACCTACGCTATAACCTTAGCTAAAAGGTTATTTTAAACCTTAATAGCTATTATAATTAAATTTAACCTAAAAGCTAGATAGCTTAATACGATTAATACCTTTATAAACAGCCTAATTAATAAAGAGATTTACGTTAAATTTCCTAAAGGCTTTAAAAGGCTCGGTTAGATAATAAGGCTACTATAAGCTTTATATAAGCTACGAAGGTTAGCCTTATTATAGTAATAGTCTCTTAGTAAAACCCTTAAGCTACTAGGTTTAACACCTTATTTAGAAGACTCTTATATCTTTAATAGCCTAATATTAACGGTCTTTTTTTACGTTAATAATATTATCTTTTTATACTATTAAGCAGCTTTTAAAGCTATTAAATAGATAATTTAAAAGCTTAAATTAACCTATAATATAAAGAACCTTAATAAGCTATAATAGTTTCTAGGAATTTAAGTTCTTTAAGATAAAGCTACTTATAAGCTTTAATTATATTAGAGTTTTTATATTAAAAAACTAGCTATAAAATTTAATATCCCTAAAAAAGATAGCTTTAAAGGAAGTTTAATACCTAAAAATTAATTAAAATCTAATTTAAGTATTATAATTATTAGATTAATAGACCTAAAAGTTATTATAAGACTTAATAATTTAACTATTTAATAAACCTATTAATTAAATAATTAATAAGTAAAATATAATTATAATATTATTTATTAAGGCTAAATTATTAGCTTTTATATATATAGCTAAAGAGATTATTATAATATTTAAGCTTTTTTAATAGCTAAACCTTTAATTAAATTATTTAAAGCCTATAATATAATGTAATAATTTATAAATAATCTAGCTTATTAATAGTAGTCTTTTAAGGCTTAAAACCGCTCTTTATTATATTAATATTTATAATAATTAAATTTAATAAGCCTATTAATAAGAGACCTTTAATATTAAATTCGTTTAAAGTATTAATAATTTAATTAATAGATTAATAAAGATTCTAATAGGCTAATAATTTAACCGCTTTATTAAGTAATTAAAGCTTATTAATATTATTAGTATTATTAAAAGAGCTTTAATTAACTAATTTAACTTACTTTAATAGCTATTAATAGCTTTAATAGCTAACTATTAACCTAATTTATAAGAGTATATTAACGCTAAAGGCCTCTTTTAATAGAAAATAGCTGCTATTTATTAGGGACCCTAATAAGCCCTAAAACGCCTTAAATAACTGCTTTTTAATTATACGAAAAGCCTTAAAAGAAGGCTCGCGCTACCACCCCATTAAAGCCGGACCTTCAATAGCTGCATACCGTAAAACCCCTCAAATTGATTACTTTTTAGGTGACCTGTTAGACGACCTTGATATCTATAAATAAGGGCCTGTTTTCCGTACCTAGATAGCTTCAATCCCAAGGACAATTCCACTATTCAATCTACTTCCATAGCTGTCAACGTGACATTCCTTCATAACTGTGTCCCCTTGGAACAGGAACACCGGTCTCAGACCCTCAAGAGTCTTCTGTTCAGCTCTGTCAATTATCGGGTGGCATTGGGGGATGAAGAGTAAAATCATACGAACACTAAATGCCTGTTGTTGTTTCCTGCAGGCGGCAGTATAACGATTGCTGTTGTCTTGAATGAGCGACTTTTATTGTTACTCACATGTCTTACTTGGGAATTGTCACGCATTGATAGACTGTGTAACGGTTCAAGCTGAATGTATTGACAAGTAGCTAGACGACCACTACGAGTATCCAAGGGTCAAGAGGAAAAGAACAAAAAGGAGAGCTCGAGGAGCCCCCTGGTGATACGCCTTTGAGAATCTCCAGAGTCCTACCAAGTCAATAATTTCCAGCTTCTCGAATGATGAGTCGCTGTGCCGGCTCTTGATGGAGCGGCTCAGATCAACACCGAACCCGTTCGAGTCCGTCCCCAGGCTTCCGGGAAAATTAGAGACACGCAGACCGGAGCTCCTGTTAGAGACTGTCCTGTCGGAAATCCCGAGTGACCGCCAACCTTGGGCTCAGAAGCTGATTTCGTGGATGCTGTCGGCTGTCAGGCCATTAAGGACGGTTGAGTTCTGCGTCGTCTCAGATCTGTGCCTCTGCCCGGTCAAAAAGACTGATGACACGGACCCAAGCAACGCGACTGCTCACGACACCATTGCGCACATGCTGCAATTGTTCGGCGGGTTCCTTGTCGTAGTCCAAGATGAGATTCAGTTCTGTCTTTCAGTCATTCATCCGTGGCTTGGGTCCAGTGAGTTCGAACAGCAACAGCCGGGTTCCAATAGATGGTATTTGCGAAGGAACGCGACCGTCATTTGGACATTCTGTAGATTTGTTTGGTGCACTTGCACGATGACAGTGGGTAAACAGGTTCAGGTGCTTTACAACTACCATATGCAGTTGAGTTTTGGAACAGACATTTGACACAGGCTGGTCCACTTGATGATGTCTTGGAAACAGTCTTCAATCATCTTCCGAACTTGAAACGATGGATCGACGCATATTCTGCGTTGCCGGCTTTCTAAAAGATTCCCGTGGGTAGTCGAACGCCTTTCCTGTTGCAGCACACTTTGGACTTGATAACCTCGTCACGTGTCTTTTAGAAATGCACAAGAATGGTGTTCAATCGCGCGGCCTGGCCTTGGTCGAGGCCGCGAGGAAAGGCAAGCTCTCTACTCTTCGACTTATCCTCGGTTCATATCCGTCGGATCTGGATTTTGACCATGGTTACTTGCATAGTGCCTTCAAAGTTGCGGCATCCAGTGGAAACCTAGATTTGTTCCAGGAGTTGGTGCATCACATTCCCAAACCACCTCATGACACTTCCAGGAGAAGCCCAGAGAGGAACACACAACGACACAGCAAGCAGAACAATCTAGTAGCAGTAAGGATTATGCGAACAATGTCCTCGAGGACGAAGAGCTGAAGAATCAAGAGGCGTCAATCCTCTTAGAGCGCAATGACCCGTTGCTTCGGTTGGCATTCCCACTGTGCCGTGCTTCCTCGCTGGGCATGGAAGATATTGTTGCCAAACTCTTGGCCTTGGGTCGGATCCTATTAGTAGATGGAGGTGCAAGTTTGGCCGCCAAGACAAAGCTCGGCGAGACACCACTAGATATTGCCGCCGCATTCGGCGCACAGGATATAGTAAAAATGCTCTTGGATAAATGGAGCTGCTGTTGATGGTAAGGATAACTCTGGTTTGACGCCCTTGCAATCTGCATGCGAAAGGGGGCATTTCCTAGCAGCCGACCCTATTCTCAAGCACAGGAAAATGCAGGAATATCTACCACCCGAGGCTGACGACCAGTGGAAATGCCCACCACGTACGTCAACACCAAATGTTTCTACGAAGCGCTACAATACTGACTTGTCCTAGTTTTCGTGGCAGCAAGCGACGATTACCTCGAGGCCACCCGGTACCTCATCTCAAGAATGCCAGACGTCAACACGCGTGATGGGCATGGTCAACCCCCCCTCTGGATCGCTGCGCTTGGCAGCCACACCGAGACTGTGCGAGTTCTCGCCGAGGCCAACGGAGATGTCAACGATGTGTGTGGCGACGAGGAATGGCTGCCGCTGCAGGCTGCCTATCAGCACCGGGCCACCATCAGGGCACTTGTTGGCCTTGGTGCGGATACAAACAGGGAGACTGGGAAAAAAGGAACGCCGCTGTGGTATGCTATCCTGCTTGGTCGAGTCGAAAACTGCAAGCTGCTTCTCAACGAGGCCAAGGACAAGCCTGACCTAACACGCCAGTCGATCCAAGACGCAATGCTAGATGCTGTTATCGACGGTTTCAAGGATACGGTTTCATTGATGCTGGAAGCCGGAGTGGATGTGAATACCGTAAATGAGCACGACCGAACCCTCATCAGCCTTGTTGTCGCTGCCGGGTGCAAGGTGGACGGAATCAACAAGTCCAAATTTACACCCCTCATGGTCGCAATTGTGCGAGGAAATGATGAGGTTGTCAAATATCTCCTTACAAAGAATGCCGTCACGGCTACACTTTCTTACCATGGAGGTATTGGGAACACCTTTGCATGTTGCCTGCGTATGTGGTACTTCACAAACGGTCAGGTTGCTGCTCGAAAGTGGCCCAGACATCAAGCTTGATTGCCCGAGTGCCATGGCACGCCCTTGATAGCAACCAGCCTCCGAGATGAGCGCGAAGACGATGCAGACAAAGAGGAGATATTCAAGCTTCTCCTCGAAAGGGGCGCCGACCCTACCCTCCGTGGGCGCTTTTCAAGCTATCCCATCATCACCGCCAGCCTAGACTGCAAGAGCGGTATCATACAAAGCCTCCTGGATCACAAGATATCCATCGATGTGCAGGATGCCTGTGGCAAGAAACCAGCGCACGTCGCTTGCTGCAACTCCCTCGAGGTTCTAAATCTGCTCCAGGTCCCAGACTCGGATTTCGCCGTCAAAGACGCCATTGGCCGGGTGCCCCTCCATTATGCCGTTCTCAGCAGACAAGTCGACCTTGTGAAAGAGGTGTTGGTGCGCTCTGTGCGAGTCGGTGTTGATGTCAACGTCGGGGATAAGGACGGTTGGACGCCTCTTCTCTGGGGGCGCGTGCTGCGAACATCTTGATATGGCAAGATAGGCGAGCGGCATACCACGATGGAACAGTCACTTTCCTGCTTGACAGTGGTGCAGACCCGCATATTTCTGGTTGAGGACTTTTAGGCGACTGGACTGCGTTGGAAGTTGCCCAGTATCGTGATTATGAGAGGTTCGTTGTTGCAAGACTCGTAGCCAGGCCTCATGCCATTTTTTCCATGGTCGTTTGTTGACGCGTGCGTCTCCTATGATTAGCATTCCTGGCCTTGCGGAGGCGAATGTCTCGTCCCAAAGGCCAACTTCGAGACGGAAAAGGAGGGGAAGGCGGAATCAAGGATGGTTCTGTGATTGTTGCGAATTAGAACTGTGGGGGGTCTACTTAATTGCACAAGCTGTGATGACTACACGCTATGCTTCAAGTGCTATAAATACAATTCCATCGTGCACCTTGCTCATGACTTTAGGGACGCCGGGGACGACTGGGATGAGGAGGAAGATGCGGCTGAGAAGACGGAGTCTGGGCCAAGTGGGACTGCAAGAGGGGATGCTGTGCTAGTCGAGGAAGAGGGTCCGCTATATCACTTTGATGATGAGATTGTGGGCGATGATGGCTCTGTGTGAGGCTGGGAGGTCTCCGAATAATGAGGGCGTTGTGGAAGACTATTTGCTGCGCAACCAGTTACATCTGAAAGATTGCTTGTTATGAGGGCAGCCATCAAGCCTAGCCGAGAGGAACCATATGAAACAATCGTCTCCTGCAGGCTTGCAGGAGTCATTGGGGCGATCGTAGCGTAATGTCGAGCGATTAATACATGTTGTGATATTGTACGTGCAGCTTTGTCGTCACAAATTCACAATACGGGCGGCAAGACGGAGAGTCGCCAGCTTTCGTAGTGTCACGTGAGACACTTGGCAGACCAGTCAGCCCCGATGAACCAGACCTCTTTGCTGTACCCCTCCACTGCGGTAACCACCCGAAAGCCATTGGCAATTTGACCCAGGCCGTATCAACCACACCACACGACAATTAACTCATCCCCCCACCTTCCATGGTCCTGACCTCCTCCGTCTTTGCAGCCTTCAGTACTGCACCATCTTCATCATTACCCTCCCGCCAGCCGGTCTGACTCGTCTGTTTGCACCTGCGCATCATCATCAAGCCGTATCTGCGTCGCGGCGCCAACCGCCCATTGCCAGCGATCCTGCCATCCTCCAACTAGTCCCTCCCCCGCCATGGCCCCTCGAGGAGGCTTTGAGGACGAAGAGCTCACCATCTCCCTCTCCTCATCCCACGTCCGGCGCCAGCAGCAGCAGCAGCAACAACAGCAACAACCGACACAGCATCACCACCGGCACCAAGGACGGGACGATGCCACCAGGTCCCCCAAGCTAAGCGGCGGCCGTCAAAATGCCATGGAGTCGTTGCGGGACAAGACCAAAACCGAACAGCGCATCGGCGCCTACAAGATTGTGCGAACCTTGGGCGAGGGATCTTTTGGTAAAGTGAGGCTGGCCATTCACCAACTCACCGGACAGCAAGTTGCTCTCAAGATTATCGCCCGTAAAAAACTCATCAGTCGGGACATGGCCGGCCGCGTCGAACGGGAGATTGAATACTTGCAGCTACTGCGGCACCCCCACATTATTAAGCTGTACGTGATGCTTTGATGCCTCCTCTTTACATTTCCGCCATGCATGGACAAAAAATGACAGGGTGGTTGACCGACATTATACAGATATACCGTTATCAAAACCCACAACGAAATCATCATGGTGCTTGAGTATGCAGGCGGAGAACTTTTCGATTACATCGTGCAAAATGGCCGTATGAAGGAAGCCGAGGCACGGCGCTTCTTTCAGCAAATGCTGTGTGCTGTCGAGTACTGCCACCGTCACAAAATTGTCCATCGCGACCTGAAACCGGAGAACCTGCTGTTGGACGATAATCTGAATGTCAAGATTGCCGATTTCGGCCTGAGCAATATTATGACGGACGGCAATTTCCTCAAGACGAGCTGCGGAAGCCCCAACTACGCTGCGCCTGAAGTTATTGGCGGAAAGTTGTACGCTGGTCCCGAGGTCGATGTATGGAGTTGCGGCGTGATTTTGTACGTCCTTCTGGTTGGACGATTGCCGTTTGACGACGAGCATATTCCCAGCCTGTTTGCCAAGATTGCCCGAGGCACTTACAGCATCCCCCAGTGGATGCCGTCGGGGGCGGCCAATTTGATTAAAAGGATGCTTGTTGTCAACCCCGTGCAGAGAGCTACTATTGAGGAAATCAGGCAGGATCCATGGTTCCTGACGGACCTGCCAGCTTACCTCCAGATGCCTGTGGAGGAGTTTTTCAACACTGGGGTCGACCCCAACAAGGCCATTCAAACTAGGGATATAGCTCCGAATGCCCCTGTTCAGGTGCAAGAGAGGTTGCACAACGAAGTCACGGAGAAGATTAGTAAAACTATGGGTTACGGCAAGCTGGATGTTGAAGAAGCCTTGCAGTCCGAGGAGCCTTCGGCTATCAAGGATGCTTACATGATTGTGCGGGAAAACAAGCTTATGCAAGTCAACCGTAAGTCTGTTTCCTAAAGCCACCGCATGTCCATGCTGCGTGAGAGTGCTGACTATGATTCCAGAAGGCCAAGAACCGTTGACGCCGGAAGTTGAGGAATCATCATCAAGCCCGATGCTGAGCATGTCCTCTGCTAGATCTGGCGCGTCGGGTGGAATCTCACCTCGACCATATGTCAGCAAGGTTGGTATTCTGCCGACAAGCTTGCCGACATACCACAAAGACTTCATCGAGAGGCTCAAGGCGGGGCTTAATTCCCAGCCGCCTCAAGTTTCTGCAGTTCATGATGAACCACCCACGGCGAGAACAGACGCGGAGAAGGAGGAAGCGGCCAGACGACTCAAGCCACATGCACGGGTTCAGATGCGGCTCGAGGAAGGCAGCAAGCGCCCGCAAGGCATGACACCAATCAATCCACCCAAGAAATCGAAGCCGGTTCGGTGGCAGTTTGGTATTCGGTCTAGGAATGCTCCGTGGGAGGCTTTGCTCTGCATCCACAAGGCACTGCACAAGTTGGGCGCCAAGTACATTCCAGACGAGGAATATTCTCAGGTGCATAGCAAGGATAGCGAGGCACCAAGCGGAGACGGCAGCTTTGCGGACGAGTACGACGGCACACCACTGCAACGGGAATCAAGCTCGAGTTTGGACCCGGCCAAGCGGTACCAGCTTCCAGCCGATCCATGGCACATTAAAGTGCGGTGGGAGTCTTCCAGTAGGCTGATTCTTCTTCTTCTTCTTCTTCTTCTTCTTCTTCTTCTTCTTCTTCTTCTTCCTCCTTTTCCCCCTCATTTTTGAAGATGAATAAAGGCTAACTCATGTGTCTTTGCAGCACTCAAAAAGCATGTTCAGACGCCGCCCGAAGGCGTGGACAAGGTGCAGGGTGGCACGCCAGACAGTTACCACATTCTAGCACAGGAAAATCCGAACAAGAAGGAGTTTGTAGCCCTACACCTGGACATTCAAATATATGAGATGGAGCAAGGGGTGTACTTGGTAGATTTCAAGTCTTCAGGCTACGAGACGCCCGAGGGCAAGCTACTTGAAGAGAAGGAAGTGACGAGTCCGTTCCCGTTCCTCGACATGGCAGCAAGGTTGATAATGCAGTTGGCCGAGGCGGACTAATGGGGGAGGTAGAAGGTGGATTTTGGTGGTGGTTAGAGGAGCCTGAAATGTCATGACTAATGAATTTTACGCCGCTGTCGCAGAGTGCGGGCCTTGGTATTCCTTTTTTTTCCTTCTTCTCTTTTTTTTTTTCAAATTCTTCGGAGTACGGAGTCTGTACAGACAGCTTGCCTCCAGCGTTGGTGGGTTTTAGGCAGGTCAGTGAACGGGTACTTAGAATGGGACGGTGATTATACCCGCATTGGTGTGGTGCTGTGGCGAAGCTACAAAAGCTGAGCAGAGTGTCGAGCAGCGGTGCACATAGAAAACACTTTATGTGTGTAAATGTAACTGAATATCTCTACCATGCTGCCACCTACTAGGTGGGGATTTTGATTCATGTACAAAAAGATCAATGACGTCGGGCAAATCGACACGGGCCACTGGCCAGGATGAAAAACGATGCCCCTCTCCCACGAAACAATATCTCTACAAGCAACCACGTGCGAGGCACATTTTTCTCTTCAATTTTGTTCCCAGGAAAAAAAAAAAAAAAGGTAACTTGTTGGGGAAACACGGTTCATTCTCAGTGAAACTGGTCCTCGGTGACGCCCTTGCCCATGGCGGCGGTGGAGCTCACGCCGCCGGTGACCATCTTCTGCAGCTCGTCGACGTACGAGGCGCCGCTCCACTTCTGGTGCTTGACGACGTCGACGCCGCCGTCCATCTCGGGCTCCTGGACGAGCTCGCCGTAGGCGCGCATGCCGTGGGCGGCGTAGGCGCGGGCGGACTGG